ACTATTTGTTACACTGAAGAAGGCCACAGTTATGGCCGAAACGTTTGGCATTATTTTGTTCGAAATATACACGATAGCATAAACAACCTGCTGGTTTGCAAGCCCTTTGTTTGATTTTGTTATTCCAAGCGAACACGACATACTAATTGTTTAAAATACTTTATATTATATTGCCGATTATATCTATATTACAATGCATCGTAAGAAGAGAAAAATGTTGTGCAATATGCGTACAAGCAGTGGGATAAAAAAAGTACAAATTAACACGTTTAAAACATATTAGCAACGCCGAGTCATTATATTTTATTAATGAAATTTTATTTAAATTTTTTCTGGCAATGGAACAAATTTTTAGAAACCACTTGCAGAGAGTCTTATCAAATTCAACTCTAAATGCTAAACAATACTTCATATCTCAATTTCAAAAACTCCCTTACTCTATTCCTAATTATCACAACTTAAAAAATAAATTGATTGTTAGATATTGTCTGTTTAAATTAAGATCATCGAAAAATAAATGTGATTTTGTAAATAAACCGAAGATTGTTAGCGTGCAATCTAGTAAAACAATGGCAATGGATGTTTATATTAAATAAGTGATGTATACAATTTGATTTTTCTCAATTTAATATTCTTTGTTTTTGTTTATATTCTAATTTTATAAAAAATTAATTTTGTTAAAAAATTGATGATCTTCATCGCATAATATAATTAAGTTGTTATTTATTAAATTGTTATTTTTCTTTTTCCCTTTACATATAATTTTTCTCTTTTGATAATTCAAAAGACAACTGCTTATTTTTTTTTTTAATTTTAATTAGCCTTTGGCTAATGAACATCAAAATTAAATTAGTTTATAACAAAAAATGTTGTTAAAAATCTTTTTCGATATTTTTGTCTATTTTTAATGCAGTTAAGGAAGTATTTTTTATACCTGCATGTTTTATTTATTATTAATATTATTTATTAATAATATTTAATTTTTATTAATTAAATTTTTTTGTATTTTCAGGCAAAATTATCACAAGAACGTAAGTATTTGTTATAGCTGCATGTTTCATTTATTAATAATATTCAATTTTAATTAATTTATTTTTATTGTTATTTTCAGGCAAAAATATCTCAAGAACGTGTAAATCAAATCATGCAGACTATTATTATTCGTTATACATGAATTTTCAACATTAAAATCAACAAGATTTTTTGTATTCATAATTTTTTGCGTTTTTTGAACACGAACAAAAATGTCTATAATTTAAATTCCGTTTAATTATAAATAATTTTAAATTGTACATATTATTTCAAATTGTCAGCAAATTGTTCATATCTGCCTTATTTGAGCGAAGCAAAGACTAATACTTTTCTCGAGAAATCACGCTTTTGACTTATTAAAGAAATAAAAATGTTTTCTTTATTTTATTCTTAAATTATTTAAAAACTACTGAACCCATTGATTACAAATCCTCTTTTTGAACCCTCAAAACATGGAGATGTATTAAGAATACAAATTTTGTTAATTAAACTACTGATCGTAATATTTTCCTTATTTTCTAAAGTTTTAATTTTCAGAGCTGGAAGTTAATAATATACATTTGCTCAGGCTATCGCGTCAACACATTTTTAGTATAAAAATGATTTTCATAATTGTTCTGTTTTTTTATTTATTTATTAAATTTACAAATTTGCTTTTATATAAAAACTTTTACACAATGTGAATAGGAGAGGTAATTAGAGCCAAGCGCGGTAATCAAAGCGCAAACAATTTATAAAAATAAATAAATATATATATATATATATATATATATATATATATATATATATTAACGTACGCGTTTCGACACATTATTCGTGTCCTCTTCAGCGTTAAAAGTTACATAAAGTCAAATACGAAGATTAACAAAGATAATAAAAAAGAAGTCGAGTATAAGGCGTCAATAGTCAATAGACGAACAAAGTATAAAAGACGCAGTCAAAATTAAAAAAAAACAAGGATTGAAATCCTATGGATGTACCGTTGCCGAAATTCCA